AAAGTATCCCAGATTTCTAGGAAAAAAATCTAAAATCAAGCCATAGTCTGAATAGTAAAAATATCACTTAGTGTTTCTCTGGTATTAAAAAAATCGTAACTCTGCTGTCTTTGGCTTTTTCTCAATTGAAATTTGGTATGTTAGAGCTGAAAGGCTTCTGGATACTTAAAAAAATGCTCCATTTTCCAAAGTTTTCCTGGACAGTGACGCACTCACTCCTACAAAACTGTATTTTTACGTATTTTTTTTTTCAGATTTTCATTCACAACCCATAACCTATGTAGTGACCTCCCCCAAAACATATTTCCTGGATGCGCCACTGCCAAAACTTGGCTTTTGATTAATAATTAACAATCAGTTGCAAGTTCTAGAGAGTTGCAGTAGGTTACGCCTACTACCGTAAATATTTACACTCAGCCTAGCTAATTTTCCGGTTCAGTCGATAAATTTACTATTCATAGGACACGGACAGAGGGACACGAGTATTCTATGGCGAATTATAATACTCTGCTGACAGCTTAAAATTACTTTGACTTTGGTGTGGCGCTCATTTACTATGCATGATGGTTGCGGATAGGAACTTTGGACTGCATATTATGCGGTAAAGTTGAATCTCGTCATAACTATGATAATCTAAAAGTTTATGCTTTCAGGGTTAAATGATAAAGTTGAGAAATGATCGAGCAAAACCGAACAGGGTTAACTTTGTCCTTTATATATCAAAATATTAACAACAATAACAACTTCAAATATCAAATGCTAAATGTTTATTTGCCTTTTGTGAACTGAATTTTTAAATTTCAACTCCTCCATCGCTAAGTATAATTATTATTCTCTCTAGAGGGAACAGGGAACATTCTTTTCTCGGAATATAAAATTTCCCACTGGATTCTATTAAAATTGCACGCGTGCAAGCTGGGCGACAATGAAAATATGTACATGTTTCACAAAGAATAATACTGAGGAGGATTTTTGCATTTAAAAGGGATTCGGTGCGAGCTCGTAGTAAAAATGATACGTTTTTGCCTGTCGAAAATTGATTTTTTTCTATGGATTATGGATCAAAAGAAAAAAAAAAGGTTCCGGCTTCAAAGAGTTCATTAATCATCAAAGGAACTTTATGGTGTAAAGACAGTTTTTCATTAGTGGTTTGGAAAAAGGGAATTTATTTATTATTATTGGCTTACATATTTCAACCGTTGATTGACATTCTGGATAAATATGAACATTTTCCTTTTCCAATTTATATAATTAAAATTGCATGTAACACAGCAATAAACTGGACGCTGCAGGTGTTTCCTTGGAAAATCCAAAATGGCAAACAAGAAAGGAAAATTGCACGAACATAAAACGGAATATAATTTACCATCAGAACCGCAAGCTTCTACTATATATTCTTTTAGAAATTGCACCAGTTTGCTAGGCGAGAAAATCCCTTTAATAACCTCAATTTATTGCACACTTTGTGGCGATAATTATACTGCACATACTCCGAAAAAAAAAATCATTTTAGGTAGTTTTAATAAAGCGATATCCGTTACGCAGACTAACGATGTTTTAGCTTTATCGGCTAGTTATATTCAACACGCATAAGGCTTTTAATTAAACATGGAATTTGAGCTTTAGGTAAATTGAAACAGATTTTAAGTAACAAAATTTCTAGGAATAGGTACTAAACAACGGATGTAACTATACCACCTATATCAAATTTGATTGAATTAACCTCGAATTTTCTAATATTCGATTTTAAAAGTTCAAATTTTTTGGGAAACAGCAATTGAATCCAATAAATTCGAAAAATTCAAAAGTCTGGAATTGAACAAATTTGCTCGAAGAAATAAAGAAGATGTCCTTTGTCTTAACAGTTTTTCCTCATTTTGTCTTAAATTTCCTCTTTATTTTTTCTCAAGCTTTATCTATTCCTGGCTGTTGAATTATAAATCTCATTAAATAAAGAAAATGCAGAGAAATAGACAAAATATGAGAGCCAGGAATAGAAAAACTATGATTATACTTGTCCTTTGTGCTAATAGTTTTTTCTCAATTTGCTCTAAATTTCCTCTTTAATATTCAATTTCTCTTTCTCATGTTTTATCTATCCCTGGATTGTGAATTTTAATTTTTTTCCAAAACTCGTTAAATGAAGAAAATTCAATGAGAGCCTGGAATAGAAACTCTATGTCATATTCGAATATTTGATTAATTTCATTCAAATATTTGATTCCTATAAAATTTATCAATATACAAATCTTTATGTGCTTGTTTCGGATTTCTAGAAGTTTCATCACATCTTAAAAAATACGAGTTTTCAGAAATTTTAAAGTTTCCCTTTGAATTTCGCAAAATAAGTACATATATTGGATACCATTTAAGATTTTTTAGAAACATTGAAGGCTTCGATGAATATTTTTAGAAGCTCGATTGTAGAAAATCATGTAAGAAATCTTTCAACTTGGATTGATTTGGTAAATTTTGAGATTTTTAAAATCTTTGGATGATACATTCTCTAAGCATTTAGTCGTAAATAAGCAAAGCCTTGATCCTAAAATCTTCAAAAATCGAGGTCTTTGACCTTCATTCATAGGACTTGGAATTTTCCGAATTCTTGTGGTTATTCGGAGTTTTGGAATGCTAAACTGAGAACCGCAAAATCTTCATATTTGTAAAAGTCTTCATCAAAATCGATGCACTCTTAAATCCCACATTCAAAATATTAAAAGCTTTTGAAGATTCTAAATGTTTTTCAAATTCCTCGATACCTATTCAAACCTTGAAACATTATGAAATTTTCAAAATCTTTCCAGAATTCATAGCATATATTTGAAGATTCGATTTCAAGCCTCAATTCCTATTGAAAATTTTATTTATATTCAAAAAATACCAAGCTAGGTACTTTATTCAAGATAAAATAGTATAGCAATATCAAGTTCATATTATTTAATATGGTACAAACTCCTTAAAAAAAATTTGGACTAATATTTCCAAAACATGATTAGTCAGTTTGATTTAATGTGAGCTTTCCTGCCAATAAAAATTAAGTAAAATGGTTAGTGAAGAAAGGAAGTCTAACTGAGCGGTGTCGCCCTCTGTCAGAGAGATACGTAAATCTGAACGTTGTTACTAGAATCACTCTATCTATGATGCAATTAGAAATATGGATTTTCAAAGTTTTTAAAAATGTTTTTCCAAAAGTACCTTAGTGTTATTTTAATTGAAATTGTAAGAAGACAAATTGAAATATGATTAAATTCCCTCTTCTTACAAATAAGTTAAACTTTTCAGTTCTCTTTACTAGAATAAGGTTCTCTGAAAAATTCAGATTTCTATCAATGAAGATATGATTTTTCATAGTTTTCAGAAATGTATCTTGAAACCTTCAAGAATGTTAAAATTCCAAAGAGTTTTTGACTTTAAATGATCACATTTTTGATTGTTCAAACTTCATAAACCGAGAGGAAATCCACCTAATCAGTTTTAGACACCGAACATTCTAGAATTCTGAGAAATGCTTATTGGCTCTTGATCGTCTCTACGAATATCCTACACATACAAAGCAAATGAGGAGCCAGTAATGATTCACATTTTGATTGTTATTGGTTTCGTGATTTGCTGAATTATAATCGTTTTCTATATCTACTTTATAGTTGTGAGCAATTTTTATATTTAATATATATAAAAAGACACACTCAAACAGTCTATATTTTTTATAGTTATTATAGAAACGACAAAGTGGAATAGTAAAAAAATCATAAAAGGACCCTCTTTGGATGACAGAAGACCTTTTCATGAAATATTTCTCAATGTAATATTAAAGTTTCTTGTCTTGTTATTATTTTTTATCACAAGAAACGTCATAAAACCTAACAAAGCATATTGTATATAGTAAAATGAATTCAAAAAATTTGCCATACAGTTGATTTTTGATGACACAATGTTCCTTTTATCTCTATTAAAAACGCCTTATCTTTAATAAGCATATTCGCAATAATAGACGACAAATTGCGAGTACCCAGCTGGTTTCAATTTTAATTAACTGAAACCGAAGCGCTTTCCTGCTAAACTGGCTCTAATATACCATCCATGAATACATATAATCAGAGGGAAACTTAATAAAATAGTACACCATGCAAAAAGTATTCTAAAAATACCCTATGCACCAGCCACCCTTCAAGATTGGTCGATATACTTGCGGAAAATTAGGTTAATGAAAATTGCCAAGTATTGGGATTCGTTTGATATCGAATTGATCCGCCCAGAGTTAATAATGCTCCTTATAGTCTATCTAAACACTATTACTGCCCCAAATGCTTCTAAACAATGCAAACAGATCGAACCTGCTGCAATATAGGGGTTGTAAACATGTCACGTCCGTTATATGTCCTTTAGGGCTCGAATTGTGTTAATGCTTTTACCGGATTTTGAGGACGAATTGACCTACCCTAACATACAGTTTAATATTTATGTATTTCAGGAAAACGAAATTTGTTTATATGTGGTCAACAACAAAGACCTTTGTCCAAACTTTACAAAAAAACATCGATAACAGCAGAAAATGTTCGGACAATTCATAGATAGAGGGAAAAACTTTTTCAATTTTTAATAACTTACAGCATTATTCTAATCTATCAGAAAGCTGCTATACAAAGCAGCTTTGTTGAGAAAATCCCATGATGGATAATTATTGTTATTAAACGATTATTAACAACTGAAGCGTTAATGATTTAATTATGCAAATAAAAACCGGAATTAATAAATCAGGCGCAGTTTTACACAATCAAAATAGAAGAAATCTCGTAAACAACGGCTGCAATCCAAAATCCAAATTTCCGTGAAAAATTTAACATAGAAAACCGTGGTCGCATATGATGATAATCGAACGCTTGTGATGGAAGTGAAGGTCGAGGCTATTAATTAAAAAAAAAAAAGAGATAAAATCTTGTCCAGAAGAAAAACAGTGGCGTCAATAGAAAAATAAAAACCTTTACGTATTAGTGGTATATTAATTCCAATAGGTGGTACGCCAATGTTATTATTATTGTGCAATTAATGGCATCAACTATACCTATTTAAGCAAGTTTTATGTCAATGCGGACAAAAGTGCAACATAAAAATCACATCATGTAAGTACCTACTGTTTATTTTACTTTTTATTTAATTTCAATCAGATTGATTTAAAGCAAAAATGCACAAAACTAGAACTTTTAATCATGTTAAATGCTTGATTGGGTTTTTGGACATATGAAATTGAATTGGAAATCTTTTTTGAATAGGAAATTGGCATTAATTCTCTTATCATTATCCATTGCTACGGTATTGGGTACCAGTCCAATCCAGAGTCCACCACATCCGTGTCAATGTTGGCCAGAATGGAACCCGGTTTTAGAAGGGGCAGATTATCATTGTAAAGATTCGAGATCCGAGAAAACTTTCCACTGCAACATCGAAATACCGCCGATTTGTACTTGCAAGGTAATTTTTTTTTTCAGTTTAGGTTGTTTTTATTAAATTATTTTATTTTTTAGCAAAATGGTTCCCTAGTTAAACTACCCTTGGGGGAAGTTAATTGTGTGGGAGGAGGACACAACGACTACGACAACACAAATTGCGAAACTACTCCGGAATGGGAGGCTTGGTTCAATAAGAATCCTCAATACAGGCTTTATCATTGAAAATTATGTTTGTATATAATCTATCATATAGAATTTTAGTGTTTTGAGCATTGAAATTTGAGTTTTTTTCTTATCAACATGTATTTTTTAAACTCACCTCATAACCAGTGGATTCGGTTCTGGGTTGAGTTCTGAATTCAGTTTTGGCTTGAGTTCTGTTTTGAATTGATTGAATCTTAGATTTAGTTCTGGATTGCTCTGGATCGAGTTTTATATTGAAGCTTGGATTGAATTCACTTCTGTATTGAGTACTGGACTTTTTTTTCTTTTTTCAAAGAAATGTTCAGATTTTAGATTTTGTGACAAGCTGTTCAAGTATACGGTACCCATTGAATGGAGTTTAGGGTTGAGTTCAAGATTGTTATGGATTCAGTTTTGATGGCTATCTTGAAATTTTGAAGTTTTGACTTTGGTGGTTTTGGCCCTATACCTTTAACACAGGAAACCCTGAAAATGACGGAAATCGAAACTTTAACCGGCCATAATTCCGTAACGGTAAGTCGTAGAGAAAACTCTTCACAGGCAGATTGTAGAACTCGTCGAGATCTACAAAAAAGTTCTTCGAGTCTTACCCCTACGACTTACCATTTCCGAGATATATCAGTTGTGAGTTTGGGCCTTGCTTTTTTTTCGAGAAAAAAATCAAAGTCAAAATTTCCCGGATTTTTTTCCACTACGTCCTAGAGGAGGTCCAGAGAAATGTTGGAACCCACTTTTCCCCTCTAAATTTCCCGTTTTTCCAGTAGTTTCCGGCCCTTTCCCATACACCAAAAAATGGAAAATCGATATTTTTCGAATTTTGGGAAAACAAAAATTTCACTGTATAAAAGAGATCAAAACAAGCAGAAACGCTATTTGACATTTTTCCATAGGACGGCTCTTAAGCTCAGGAAAAAATAAAAAAGAAATTTAATAGGGATGAGACTTTTCCAGCCTGACATGATCTTATTAAATGGGCCATAACTCTGGAATGCCCGGATCGATTTTAATGAATCATGTTTTATTCGATAAAGAATGAAATTTGCCACAGAATAATTTTATACAGAATTCTCAGAATCAACTCGTTACTAAGTTATGAGCCTTCAAAGTTAAAATTTTCTGAAAAATTAGCCTTAACTAAGCCAAGTGCCCTTTTGTCCATTTATTATTATCAGTTATGGGATAAAATGAATAATACAATACTTTTTTTCGATTTTTTCTATTATTTTTACCCCCAGTGAAATTGAGGCAGTAACATGTTTGTAAAAACAGATTTCCTAGAAAGTTTCAACTTTGAAGGCTGATAACGCCAAAAATGGACAACCATCGACAACTATTTTGTGTCTTAATGATCCTTTGGGATCCCGCAAACTCCATACACTAAATTATTTTGAGATTTGGAGCCGGATTCAATAAAAAAAAAGCACTCAGAAAAATTGAAAAATTGATGTCACCCCAAATTGCCTAACACAAGTCCAAATAAGCTTCAGGGATTATAGTTTACTACTGGAATAAGAAGCGCTGAAAATTTCAGCTTTCTATCTATAATAGAAAGAAAGTTATGACTAGAGAAGGGCATATATGCAAAGTGCATATTTTGCATAATTTGCATATTTTATGCATTTTTAATTCATTCTGCATATTTCCTCGAAATCCTGAAAATAGTGCCTAAAATCTATCAAATTTAGACAAAAGGTTTCAATGAAAGAAATAATTTTTAAATATTCAACCATTCAGCAGGTACGTAATTACCGGAAAACCCACCGTGAAAGATCCTTCACTGAGCCTTGTTATGGAAATTGCACCACTATTCATACTGGTGATTAAAACCTAATTCAACCATTAACTAAATACCTACATAAAAGAACCTGGTACCTACACAATAGAGGCTAATAGCTATCTAATTTATGGTAGGGTTTTATAGCCGTGAAGTCAACGAAATATTTTGAAATGGACTTACCTATGCGACAGAATTTTGTTATTTTAAATGGAACACCCTATATTTTAGTACCTACATTAATGGATCGTTCTGAAAATCCTACATACTTTTTGTTAGGAATTACCTATACCAAAACTTGGAAATATTTAATACTTTTTTCAAAAAATCGCAGTTTGCATGTGTCAACAAAAACCAACATATTTCATTTATTAGAGATTCTGTAAGCTAAATCTTTTGCAGGTTGTTAGTGCATACATTTGCATACTTTATAGTCCTATGAAAATCTGATAACATTCTACGGGGTGTTTGCAAGACTGTATACAAAACGAGACATTTCAAACAACCCTATAGGTAATTTTTTTTTCAAATGAAATACCCTTTATCTCACTGTATATAGTAGTATGTATGTACGTCGGTACTGGTGAGCCCATCATATTTATACGATGCCTTTAATACTTTACTTTGTAGAACTTGTATTTTGTTGAAATTTTGTTGCAATCATTAGCTCTGTTCCAATCGACATGAGAACTGTTCTAGAACAATAATTTCCAATCGATTGTTGATTGACGTTTCCTATTAAAAGTGTCCACCCTGTACAACTTCCATAACGAAAATTTACATTCGTTTTAAGTTTAAAGCCTATTAAAATGTTTGGCCAGTTGATTAGGAACGTGTTAAAAAAACGCCATCAAATAAAAAAAAGCTTCGTTTTAAATTAAAAAATAATTCCACGCTGGATATAACCCAATCATTTTAAATTAACATCATGTTACGAATATTTAACATTAATGAATTTCCTTCAGTAATTTTCCACCAATAATTATTGGCAAAAATCAAATAATCAGATACCCTGTTGCATTGATTCCCAGGCTAAACAAACAGAATTTCAAATATTTATGTTTTGATAATTTGAATTCTCTAATGTATGGTTTCCTACATTTAATGATATGCATTGGCTAATAATTATTGTAAATTTCAATTTAAAAATTCAATTTAGTTTAAACTATATAAGAAAAATAAGTGAATGAATAGAGAGCACGGTGCTTCCGCGTCGTTAAATTCTCATTAGCCTCTCTCTCTGGAAAAATCTATAGTCTAACGACAGAGGCAATATCCCAGAAATATTTTTCAATATTGAGTCGATATTGGAAAAAAATAGCTCCTGTCCAAACCACCCAGTCGGTTAATTATGTCTTCACATAGCTAATAATAATCGCTCCCTCAAGAATCGTGCGGAGGTAATTTATTCCTTATCGATCCCGATTATAATTTACCAATAATTTGAATGTGGTAATTAATTTTATAAAATGAAAAGTTTTCATACGATCCCTTGGCACGTTTAAGGCTCTTATTAAGAAATTTTCTAGTTAATGAAAAAGTGAAGCTTTTTAATAAAAGAAAGTTTCTTTCAAAATTATTAAATAATCTTGATGAGAAGAAAAATTGCTCCATAATATAAAAACGTAATAAATTTTATAATTCTCCTCTAGCATCCATTATAAATTTAAGCGCCAAAGAAATAGTTATTTCCTTAATACACCTATAAATTTCGGGATCGTTTAATTTCATTGCCCTTCACGTATGGATTTATTATTTCAGCTTTTATAGTGCTTTTGGAAAATTTCATCCTGTATTGTTTCGATAATGGAAAAATAACTATTAAATTGAACGTAAACCAACAATGACTTGGGAAAATAAATAAAAGCTTGACATACACAATACCGTTTGTGTTGGAGTAATTTATTCGTTCTTTGAACTACCTACGTTTTAGAAATTAATTTAATTCTCTTCTCTATTAATTCAAGTAGTGTACAAAAAGCTTCACTGACTATAAGGGTAAAAGTTAACAAGTGCACTTTGTTTCAATTAGAGCCGACTTAATTGCTAGTAAAGCTTTTAAAAGTTGAAAAATTTCCTACAAGAAGTTTTATCTGAAAGTTTCTATGTTAAATTTATAGTTTTGCCCAATCCCTAATCTTATTTTGAAAAGATCCCTTTCGCAGTGAACTGTCTTCATATATTTTAATGGCCTGTTTTTTCGTAAGATAAGAAGGCTGATGTGCTTAAGGTTGGTCTCCAGGATAAGAATATATTTGACGTATTTAATGGGGGTTGAAATCACGAGATTCTGGATTATATTACTTTGCAATGATTTATTTAGAGGATTTGTTACAAGGATCAAAAATTGGATTTTCTTGTGTGGCTTTCCCAAAACTCTGTCAGCTTCTTATCAGGATTAAATAAAATTATAATTCTTTCTACTCTAACACATGGACCTGATCTATATTTCGAGATAAGTGCGTTTTTTAAAATCTTTAATAGTTTGTTTGTTTTTTGCCCTGTATATCCGAGCTCGGAGAAGTTGATGACAGATTATTTGTAGGCACTTGCGCACTTGCTCAACTTTTTCCCCATTTAATCCACCCTGTATCTTCAATGGTTTCCAAAATCCCCATGTACCTACTTCGAGTTATTTTGGACACCCTGTATAATAACACAAGAATTTTCTTAAAATTACAAGCTTTTTTTGAATGAAAAGCTTAAAACTAATAACAATTTATATTTTTTTATTTTGAAGAGATACCCTAAAATATCTGAAAATGACAGGTTAAAAGTGAATGACAACCGCATAGAATTTACTGAAACAACACCTGTTAATCCTCTTATTGTAAATGAAAAAATAAATAAAACTGAACAACCGTTCTTTCCCTCTGTGACAAGTGACAATTATTATTGTCGGACATAAGTTATTACGTTTTGTAGCGTTTTAATCAAGAATTTACAAAGAATCACCATTTTGACATCACAAGCCTACTAATTAGGTACTTAGTTTTTTTGGCTGCAGATGAAATTTTGAACGACCCATTAATTTGTGCTAGAGCTATCCTCCTCAGTCTTATCTCTAGTATTAAGAACATCTCATTATTATTTTCTTTCAACCCTTTAAATTGAATTCTCAAAAAATCAATGCTTACCTACTTACTTTACCCTATATTTTCAAAGTGCTTATAAACATTAAATTCGCGTGACTCTCACTATCATATTGATTTTCCAATCATTTATAAAGGTAAATTCAAAATTAAATACAAACTGTTTTTTGACTCACCTAAATCTCGCTCAAAAATTGTTAAAAAAAATCAGTTCAAACTTTGAAA